TAGTAGTCAAGAAATACTTTTAAATAAACAGAGATTTTACCCATTCCTACTCCTATTTTGAACATCTTCTGTTGTGTTGTGTGTGTTGGGATCTGTGGCCTTGAGAGATACCAAGATAAAGGTTGTGCCAATGCAGACTTTCCGGTTTTCTATAGAAATAGAATATAGCGGAATTCAACACTATTTTTTATAGAAATAGAAGTAGTGAAATTCAACACTAAAAGCTGAATTTGGCTCATTGACTTTCAGGCCTCAGACATTCTTCCTTTTGCATGTTAATAGCCGTACGGCTTCGGTGACAGTTTAGCTGTGACACTGATCCAAAATTCGTCAACTCTATGCAGACGTTTGCTTTGATTTCAGTAGCTCTGTCCATAATGATCTGTAGCTGTGCTAAGAAATAGATTTTGTTATATGTGTTGTAATGATTTTTGGGCATTCAGGAACTTAATGATTGGCAACTGGTATAATGAAGTGTGGGAACGGATTTTGCTGGAGGTAGATTTTGTGCTTTCCTGGCATAAAGTCTATGCCACCTTCTAGCAAAGATTGTTAGTGCTTGGAAAATATGGTTAACACGCAGCAAATTTCATGATGATGCTGAAAATGTTTAGGCAAAATGGGAACTAGTGTTTTTCTCTGTTTTACAGTTTGGTTTGTCTTTTGGACATTAGTTATTTCATGCTGACATGCCTCCTGTTCCTCACTGAAATACTGTGATACTGGAAGCAGAAGAGATCGATTCTTGGTTTATTTTGAACATTTCTTAGTCAAGCTGCATGTGCTCCTGGAAGACCTGTTTCTTTGCAGGGTGGCCTTGTGAGACTTCTGAGAGTGCCATCCCTTTGTCACAGAATACACAAATGAAACAAATTTCTGGGATAGTGTCAGTTTCACCTGTAATAATGAAAGAAGAATCAAACCCAATCTGTATAAGGTAGATGCAGGTCCCCTCAGAATAAAAAGAATTAGGTCATTTGAAGAAGACAACTGCAAATTCTTTTTGGATAACTGGAATACAGTGATTGTAAATTACAGCATTTTCTCATGGTAACAAATGCTAGAATTTCCTCAGTCACTTGTCTAGGCTTTTAAAAAAAGTTTTGAATATTCATGTAATAATTGCAGCCTCATACAGTATGTACTCTTTAAGTAACACCGCTGCTTATTGAAGAGGACAACAGCAGAGCATGGCAGGGCCACGTTCCCTAGGGTTGCTGAAAGAGAGTTATTTCCAGGCTGTAACAAAAAGATTCACCTTTGCTTTTCAGAAGGAATTATGATGTAATTTCCATTTTTTTTTTCACTAGACTCCCCAAGAGTTGCCTCTCTGCACAGCCAGAATGTAGTAGAGTGAAAACTTTGTAAATATTTTGCCAGTGTAGATAAAACTTTAGGTTTCCCATTGAGAGCTAGATTCCAGTAAGCCTTGCTAATTCAACAAGATATGCACCTGCATCCAGTAGACGATAGGATGGCAACATTTCTCTGTTTCTCTTGTTTTGTTTTTGTGTTATGTTAATTCCTTCATGGTGAAAGACAATATTAAGAGATCAAACACTAAAATGTTAAGGATAGTTGGAGGTACAAAATTAGTGGGAAGAATTAACTTTCTGAATTAGAGGTGTTTGGAGCCAAGAGTTTGATTAACACCCAATTCTATCAATTCCAGGCAATAAAGAATAATAGGATATGACCTAATCAAAAGGAAATAAACAGAGCTGGCTCCTGCAAAAATTGAGTTTTACAATAGATAAAATTAAGAGCAAGTCTGCAGGTTTTATGTGTTTGCGTATACTCCTATTGCTTTTATCGCTTTATTAAGCTTACTAAGGAAGCCATATCCTGCCATGTCAGATGTGATATTCTCCCCATAAAGTGTAGTTGTTCAGCACTTTGACTGAGGTGTTCTTTAAAGTCCTCCTGTAGGTACATAAGAAGAGAAGATGCAATGGCATTCACATTGTTTACAGGCATGTTGCCTGCTTTTCTCTTGATGCAGCTGGAGCTTGAAAAAAGTTCAACATTTGGGCTTTGCAGGCTTTATGCATGCTTTTGGCAGTGTTTGTTTGTATTTGTTTTAAAAAACAGTTTTAAATTCAGCAGTCTTATCCCCTTGGTGTTTTACTAGCAATATTGGAGATAGAAATTCCAGTCAGCCTGCCAGGTGAAGTCTCTTAAATAACAAACTCACAATATGCCTCCTACAAATAGGTAGAATGTTTGGCTCCACTCCTAGTTATGTACAGCTCTTGGGGTGCAAAAGGGAGAAGTAATCTTCTAAACCTTTTGCAGAATTTAATGTAACTGGAGCTCCGCAAGAGAAGGAGATTAAAGGAATCTGTTCTTTTTGTTATTTTTCTGGTTTATAGATCTGTTAGATTACCGTTCCTAGAACTTAAGTATGCGTATTACTACATCAGCACCTTGTGCTGCTAATCACAGTACAGCTTTTTAGAAATAAATACTATATAAAGGATAGGCATTCAAAAGACTTCACATTTATTTGATTTTTGTCCCTTTTGAAAGCTCTCCCATTGCTTATTTAAACAAATAGTTCTATTTGATTCATTGTTTGAGAAAGGGGAATGAATTGGTCAGCCCTTCACAGCCTGATGCTGAGTAATATAACAACTGATAACACTTTCTTCTGAATTCCCTCTTCTGAAGAAACTCAGTGCTGGATGAAGGTTAAGAACAAATCTTAAAATGAAGATACTGTTTTTCTTGAGTGTCCTGAAGGAACACCTGGCATGCCTGACATCAGAATCACGTTACATGCTTTTTGATTCTTGGCTTGGCCTGTTAAAAGATGGCGTTACTGTAGAGCTCTGGTTTTGTCCCTGTAGCCTGAAAATAATAGGAAGTTTCTGGAAATATTCATGAAGGGTTATGGAATCTGCTAATATCCACTGAGTGGAAACCTCAGTGCAACGCTTTGGCAATGTGGACCTGGGCATGCTGGGTTGTAAATAAAGGAGGGCAGCTTCTTGGGGACTTTGTACTGCCATGCTGCAAGTGTGTTCTTAATGAGCACAATATGCAGTAATTGACTTGCTGGTTATTGTTTTCAGAAAAAATCACAGGTGTATGTTTTGTTGTCATACTGGACTCCAGAAGGTAGACCACATCCATGGCTGTGCTGACTCCGCACTTGTACAACTAATGGATGGAAATCATTAGTAAAGGATGTGAGCTTTCTGAAACAGAGCAGTGGTTGAAAGACTAGGAAGTTTACCATTAAGCAGCAGGTCATGGTTTTTTTAGGAAGATCCTTTCTGCATCTTATTTCCAGCATTTTTGTAGTGCTGAATGCTGAGTTACAAAAAAAGCAAACTGTTTTGGCAGATAAAGCCAATTTGTAATTCCTGTTTCAAGCTGCTGAGAAGATTGTAAAAGGAGGGCTTCAGAGCTGTTGGAGGGAAGCGGATGGAGACCTGGGCTATTCGAGGTTAGGGTAGGTTTCTGGGACGGGCAGACCTGAGGGAGGAAGCTTGCAAAAACACCTGGGAGGAGCCTGGCCTTGTTCTGAGGGATCAAACTTCTCAGAGGGTTGTGCGAGGAAGGACAAATCTAGCCAGGCTCAATCCAAGGGCGAGAAATGCTGAAAGCATTGAGTGACTGAGTCTGAGCTGGCTTTTCAGAAGAATCTTGTTTTCCCAAACTACCTTGCTGTCTTGGGATTGCAGCTGGGTGGCTGGGTATGACACCAGGTAGCAAAGCTTTTCCTAGGATACTTTTAAGTGAGGATTTTTTTTTTTAAAAAACAAGGATGTGTGAATGTGAACCTAAACCAGAAATATTTCAGCCACCTCTGCAATGGAAGGCACATTTGAAACATACAGCCAGGATAGCTCTGGTGTACTAAACGGTAATTGTCTAAAAAGATTACTTTAGCCGTTTATCACGCACTATGTAACTTAAGGACAGTAGCTGGCAGTTTTGGTGTAGCACACCACAGATCTAGAGCTGATAGTTATCAAGCTATGCGACTGTCTAGAATTATTCGTGTATTTTTATTTGGTTGATGTGCACCACTGAATGATTCACAGCAGTGACTCTGATGCTGACATTCCGCATATTAGCCAAGATGCAATCTATAAAAAGAAGAAAGTTTGCACTTCCTAGAATGAATGAATAACTGATTTTTGCATGAGGGAGGGAAGATCATAACAAAATTGACTGTAGTTGAAGCAGGATGCATCTCTCATCATTCATGGTACTCGTTCAGATACAGGCCAGTATACAAAAATATAAGTAAAAATAATTCTAGCATACCTTCTAAGAATAAAATGTTGGTCTTGTTGTTGCTATACATGAATTAATACAGAAAATGTTAATAGGCCTTATTTTGTGGGGGAAGGGGAAGAGACAGACAAAACTGTAATAAGTTATCAATAGTAACTTCATAGAGCTCAGTGGACTGTGTCAGCTTTTTCAGAAATGGCGTTTTTCAAGGTTTATTGTACAGAACTACAGCCTTATGTATTGTCAGGAATATACCAGATCTTCCTTGTTCTGAGAAGACAATTTTTTGTTAAACAAGGCATGATGTTCTCTTGTCTTATGCCATATTAATAGCATGTTTCAGATAGTTGTTTGTTACTACCAAGTCAAAGGTTTAACTCATTGTCTGCTTGATTATTTTAAAGACAAAACCCAAACCCTACATTTTAAATATTAAAAAAGTACTAAAATAGGGTGTTTCTTTTTTATTTTTGATAACAAATCATTGTTTACTGTGATGATACTACAATTTTTTTTTTAAAAAGGGTGTTCTGTAAGTTGGCCTGCTGCTTTTCAGTCACATATGACCCTGATATATTCAGTCAGTAATTCCCTGAGCTATGTGTTGGATGAAATATGCAACATGAGTACACAGAAAGATTAGGAACGTGTGTATATTCAAATATTCATGCTCAGTTGCAAAGAGGTTTTTGTATTCTTAGTAGTCTTTTTTTTTTTTCCAGAAGCTTATTTTTCCTCCTCTTGTGTTTTAGATATTGACGAGTGTGAAAATGACTTCTACAATGGGGGTTGTGTCCACGAGTGTATCAACATTCCAGGCAACTACAGGTGTACATGCTATGATGGCTTCATGTTAGCCCATGATGGCCACAACTGTCTTGGTAAGTAGTGAATGCTGGCAAGAGAGTTTCATTTCCTAGATGTGGTGAGAAGGCCTGATCTCTTTGCTGCATTTTGTCATCTGGTATGTTTTCAGTAAAGACTTGATCCAGATCAAACTGAATAAGTTCAGACCTGTCTGTTGACTCCAGTGTGGTTTAGATCAGACACTTAAAGTTGGCACTCTTATTCCTAACATGCTCAAATCAATTGGCTCATCTTTAACATTGCTAAAATAAACCCCTGACCTCCAAAGCCTATGCTGGTTGTTTGGGCTTCTTTTTTTAAGAAAAGTAATCTGTCCCATCCACTTAAATGTATTTTGTCTGTTTCTTCCAACTTTTGTAATTCCAGTCATATCTTTAAAGCTCCCGCTCTCCTTTTTTCCCTTTAAGGGTAACATAGTTCTAGGATGTGCTGTATGAACATAAATTATAGAATGTTAAAAGTGCAAGAGTGATGAAGGAACGCTTGGACAATAAAACAGGGCAGAAGAAACGGTTATCAGTAATAGCTCTTTAGAAAAGGGAGGGACACAGTCCACAACTGTACAAAGCCATGTTCAGAGCAGGATTTTAATTGCTTTAGCAGTCTGAAGATTTTGGGATCTGTCTTTTGTGATATATATCCATTTCTCTGCTTTAAATAGGTTGGGTTTATCCTATAAGCTAAAAAAGTATATATTTTGTTTTGAAATATCTTCAAACCAATTGCCTGGAAGTTAACTTTGACTGCTATATCCAGTTTCCCATACCTGCTTTCTTGCTAGTTATTTTAGCTAAATCCTAGTGCCTATCTTTCTCAATATTCCCAATATAAATGCAATGACCAGTGCTTGGTACAGTCCCAAATTAATTTCAAGGTGATGTTTGTAAAACGGTGCAGAAAATAGGTATTTTTTCCCTATGAGGCAGCACCTTTGCTTTGGTAAAAACTGAGATTCTTTGCAACAAAAGTCAAGCAATCAGAAATAATAGTCAGATAACACCAGGCTGCACTCACTAAAGCTATGGAACAACTAGAACTTCTGAGCAAGGATTTGGTTAGCCTTTCAGTGGACTTATTTCCTACTGGGTTCATTTTCAAACTAAGTAGTATTTGTTCAGATGTATTGTATATCCGGACCTATGACAGGCTTTTGACCTAAACTTCCAAATTTCAGTTGTTAGAGAAGACTAAATAGATTTATTTGTCTCAACTTGAGGTGATCAAATGATTAATTGTGCAAGAGGTATTTCTTATACAAAGAACAGCCAACCATTCATTTAAAAAAGAAAGAAAAATTCTATTTATGCTAATGTTCATAAATATCTCCTAATAAAACAGGACACAAACATAATCAAATAGTTTGACTATTTGGAATTCAAATAACTGTGCATGTATATTGTTTCAAACAGCTTGCTATTTTCAACTTTGTTTCTAAATGATTCCCATAGTAGTTGGGAAAAGTAAGTTAACAATTATTAACAGCAAAAGGAATGACCTGATAAAGAATGAACCCTTCAGGAGATCTGTGGGATTTTTTTGGACCCCTGGTATCTGTGGTGTTGCTCTCTGGTCATGAAACATACAGGCTGGGCCTACAGAGATAGTCAAATTTCTAATTTTCTTTACATTAATTTCTATTCAGCCACTTGATTTTTTTTGGGGAAAAAAAGGGCTTTTTTAAGGGCTTATTAGCGATAATATAAACCATTGTGCTTATCAGGTGGCTACAGTTGAAAGTATTGATCCAAAGCTTACCAAGAGATCTTTCAGGTTTTTTAGAATTGGTGTCTGCCCATATTCATGGTCTACTCTGAGCTGACTTTTTTGCGTTACCCCAAAAATGTTAGGAACCATGTTGCTTCTAAAAAATGTTCAGTGAACAGATGAGTGGGAATAATAGCAAAGGGCTCCCTTGCTCCCAGTCTGCAACTTTAGGACACTAAAAGAGGTCACAATGGCCTTTCTAATTTTGATACCATGGACTGGGGAAGTTTCAGTTCTTCAAATGCAGATTGAATATTTGCAACTACTGAATGGTCTTTGATATTTCTCGATAAAATAACTGCTTTTACTTAGAGGCACTGGAAAGGGAATCAAGGCACATTCGTCTTTCTCCCTTCTTTAAAATTTGGGTGAGTTTACTGAAGATGATAGTGTCTGGTTGTAAGGACTCAGACTGAAGTTTTTAATCCTAACAGTGACCGTGCAAATCCTGCTATGACTGCCTGTTGTGCATTAACTTCGATTTGAGACACTGCCACTAGAAAAGAGATAACTTCATTTTTCTGTCGTCATTTGGTCCCTTGCTGGCTGCTGGCATTATCACTTACACTGACTGCTGGGGTAGCCTGGTTTTGCCCATTAGCGCAGTGTGAGTTTAGAAAAGGGGGACATTCTAGACTTTTCCCTTCTGGAGTAGTTGTATTTTCCTTCATTTACGCTACCAGAAACATGTAAATGCAGTTGGCTGTTTTTAAGAGGACACAGTAGGTTTCAAATAAAAAACAAAAAACAAACCTTGTATTTGCACATCTTTAAATTAGGATTTCTGTAACTTTGGGGAAAATTTTCCCAGAATGTAAAACTTGCTTAATTTATTTCAAAGAATTACTTTTTTTCACCATGAGGAAATTAGGCATTAAAAGGAATTAAAGTTTTGATGAGTCCACTGGCTTCTGCCTGTTATTGCTTTTTGAGAAACCCTTTATTTTTCTTGGATTATAAGGAGACAAAGAGCTCTTAATGAGCTTAGTGACATTGTTTTTCACCTTTCAATACATTCTTTTTCTGATTTCTGCCCCCTCCCCCTAGGACTTTACAGAACTTTCAAAATGAAGATTGCTGATTAGGTACTGTATCATATATTCTATCTACCAAGTTTATGTTTCTCTTAGAAAAGGCATGTAATGTTTGATCAACATGCTGAAATTAAGTCTGTATATGCACTAAGTAGGGCTGTAAGGGATCTTGTATAGAATTATGTCATTTGTATAGAATTTGTAGATGAGCTTGTAAAACTCACAGTAGGTTGATATTGAAAACCCTACCTGAACTGTCTTCTCATACAGCATCATGGGTATGTATGTGCTTGGATAGAAGATTTGCTAGGAGTGACCCAACATCAGACCACGCTGTTACTACTTCTCCCCATCCTTTGGTCTTCCAGGCATTATAGTTGGGGTCCATTTTGTCAGCATGTGGGGAGCCAGGCAGCAAGAACACTTAGAGGTCAATTTGACTGCCTGAACATTGGAGCCTCATGCCAGCGAGCCTGGAGCTGGCTGATGTGATGTGAGATCTATGGGAGTACATCTGGAGTGGAGGCTAGATGGGATAATATAAGGAATCTAAAATGGCATCTGACTCCGATGTTTAGACAGCTGAATTGTTCTCTCAGTGACTTGGGCTGCATTTTATCATGCACACGTCACCAGAAATCTTTGTCTAGTGATTTTAGATAGAAGGCATAGGGATGGAACCCTACCTCTAGGAAACAGGTTGTAACAGACAAGACTGTCATACCACGATTTCTGCATCTCTTGCTTGACTGAAGCCTATACAAAGTCTTAAGCCACCTCTTTTTGTCGGGGTTTACATTCCTTTTTAAAGCTTCACTGAATGTCTTTCTAGTAACGTCAGCATAGCAAGATGATTTACAATCTTCTTTATAAATAGCAAACTTGGAGTATTCACAACTAATTAGATCAGATGCAATTGACAGGTTAAGAATTTTTTCCTGAGTTCTTGTTTCAATGTTTCTCTCTTTCTAATCAAGTGAAATTTCTTATTTATTTATTTGTTGGGAGGAGGTGTTTGGTTAAGAATTCATGGCTAAAATTTGTACTGGAAAATGTCCAAAACTGTCCTCAGGGGAACTCAACTCGCCTTCTATTTGACATTTTTATTGAGGAATTTCTCAAATATAACATGAAATGACACCACAGGGAATTCAAACTATGATGAGATCCGTGTCTGGCTAAAAATAATTTATTTTAGCACTGTAATTACTTGAAATAGCAGTAGTTCTTTCTCAAAATTGCTCTAAATTCTGCTCAGTGGATACAAGATTAATATTTGGTCTCATGCAATAGGTTTTCTTTATCCTTCATTTGCAGCCAGTCAGGAAATATGGTTTCCCCTCTCATATATGAAATACCAGTCTGATTTTTTTTATAAGCAGTTAGCTCATTGGTCCAGATGTTCTTTCCTGTTTGATCATTTTTTCTCCATGAACTTACTGATAAATTGATTTTTTCCTTCTTTGTGTCTTTCACATGTTGAAGCATGCTATCAGTTTTCATTCTCTCACCTTTAGGAGAGATTATGCCATAGCTGATCATCCTTCCTACTAGTGCCAAACACTTTACCCATCTCATTTGTAGTAAATCAGAGTCTGTTCTCAGATATCTGGTAAAAATCTGTGAATCTGTACCACAGAGGAGTATCAACGGATAAGACTTATGCCTTTAAAACTGGTTATTCAAAATACACTCCCTGCTCTGATTCAGCATGACACTTAAAGGTGTTTCTCATTTTCCCAGTTTTTTTTTTTTTTAATTTCTTTGTTTAATTAAGCAAGCAGACTGGACTTTTGCATATGTATAAGTGCATTATTGATTGGAGGCCTCTTTGGCAGTTGAAAATACTTCTATTCATACTTCTACCCTCATTACAAGAAAGACATAGAGGTGCTGGAGCATGTCCAGAGAAGAGCAACAAAGGCTGGTGAAGGGCATGGAGAACAAGTCTTATGAGGAGCAGCTGAGGGAACTGGGGTTGTTTAGCCTGGAGGAAAGGAGACTGAGGGGAGATCTTATCGCTCTCTACAGCTACATGAAAGGAGGTTGTAGAGAGGTAGGGGTCAGTCACTCCTTCCAAGTAACAAGTGATAAGATGAGGAAATGGCCTCAAATTATGCCAGGGCAGGTTTACATTGGATATTAGGAAAAATTTCTTCACTGAAAGGGTTATCAAACATTGGAACAGGCTGCCCAGGAAAGTGGATGAGTTGCCA